CTGTGCCGCAGCTCCCGTCCCCAGCCCTTCTTTCGCCGCTTCATCTTCTAGCTTGTGTTCCTGTTACACAGAATTGTGCTTGTTCGGGTTTCCCACCTCAGTCCCACCGTCCAGCTCTCCTAGTGAACGTCTGGGTCTGCCGCAGTGAGGCCAAACTCCTCTACACGTCAATGGCTCATGACTTGCCCCTGCCCACCCTCCTGTCTGCCATTCCTGTCTCCTGTACTCCATTAGCACCTCCTCCCTCTGGCCCCTCCTCCTGTGGGCCCCCCCAGCCTTCCCCTCTAACCACTCCCCCTCTGGCACTCTCCCTTAGCCCCTCCCGCTCTAGCCCCTCCCCCTCTGGCCCCTCCTCCAGCCACCATCTTTGCAGATCCTCTTAGCCTCAAATGCCATTGTCCCTCTGGCAGGGAGCCTCAAAGCTCCCAACACTGCCTAATGCCGCCAGACAGACTGATGTTTATGTGCTCTCTCCTCACTTCCCTTGAATTTTGAAACAAATATTTCCATTGATTTTTGTGATCATTTTCATCTCCCAAAGGCTGTGTGAGTTCCTTAAAGATAGAGGTAAAATAGTTTCATTGTTCTTCCCTGGTGCCAAATTCAGTATCTAGGACCACTTAATATATGCTCAGTAAATATTTGCTGGGTGAGTAAGTGAATAAATAAATAGAATGAATAGTTAACGTTTAATCAGCCGGCTGCTCACATGTTAGGAACTGAAATAGCTGAACCTAGAATCCAGTGCATTTAGACTGGATTCAACCATAAAAGATGAAAAACCCCAAGCCTGCCTAGGTTAGTAAAAAACAGCAATGGGCCTGCATTACTCAGTTTTCTTTGACTATAACGGGATACCTGAGACAGTTTACTTAAAAAGCAAAGAGGTTTATTTAGCTCACAGTCCTGGAAGCTCAAGCCCCAAACTTTAGGGCCCTGTTGAGATGAGGGTGCAGATGATGAAAAGCTAGGGGAGCCCCTTTGAGGGCATGGCAACAATAATCTAAGAGCCTCCCACCAGGCCTAGCCTCCTTGTTTGTTCTTCTGTTTAGGGGAGGAAAACGCTGGAATTGAGCTCAGCCTTAGCACACGCCGTAGAACTGAGCTATGCCTCAAGCCAAGGATTCCTTTGCTATGATTTAGAAGAAAATCTGATTATATGCCACCTGTAACAGGTCCACAACACCTCCCAGTATCGAGCTTTTGTGTGTGGACCTTTGGGTGACTCTCAATATCCAGACTCTAAATGTTAAGGTTTGAGGAATGGATCAGTCTGAGCTAAACCCAGGAGGACCCAGAACGAAAATTACTGTCCCCCCCCCCTCATTCTTTGGCTTTCCTCTCAGTCTGTCTCTAGGCCTGTTGTTTTGGTCTCTGCCCTTCATCCTCCCGTGGGCTTTATGGCCGCTAAAGATGGATCTTCCCGGCAGCCAGAGTCCCTCGGAAGGGTGCTGATGCTGACATGTTCCCCATTATACCAGTCATTTGAGACAAGGAAATCGAAACAGGGAATCAAAGTTGGTCGACCCTGAATTACGCGTCCACCTTATGGCCTGAGGACAAGAACAGCAATGTGATCGCCCCCCAGAGTCACCAGGTGAGATGATCGTGGGAGGAAGGGCCCGGGGTATTTCCTTCCACCCGGTGCTGGCTCCATGGCTCCACAGAGCTCCTCCAGCCAATGGCGAGCGGAGAGAGCACACTGTTTTATTTCCGAGAGCTTTAGAGAGATGATTTAAAGGAAGCTTGGCTGCTGTGTCTTCCTAGCAAGTCTATTTGCTTAAAACTGTCTGGCTAGAAAGTTTCAGCTTGGGTGAGGGTGAATAAAATCAACGCAGTTTTATTGATTATATTTGCTGCCGCTGGTCACACAGTATTAAATCTTCCTCTCCCACTAGATCACAATTTCCCACTAGAGTCCGTAATTTTCTTGACACAACAGACAGGTAGGCTCTAGTTTAGTCCAGTTTAAAGCTGTGCTTCTCGAAGTCCCCAGCAGACTTCCCTACAGCCCCGACTCAGACAAACAGACTCCAAGCCCGTGTTCCTCCTTGCCGGAACCTGGGAGCTGCTGCAGGGGGGAAGTGGGAGGAGGGAATACAGGACGCACGGAACTGCTTCCTTCTGACTCTTTTTGGGGGTCTGGAGAATCAGGATGAGGCGATGGTGACATTTGTGTCTTTCCGCAGATTCATAACAGAGCCCATTAACCCCCAATATGACTGTGTTGGGAGAGGAGCCTTTGGTAGATAAATCATGAATGGAATTTGTGCTCTTACATAAAAGAGGCCTTGCTCTTAGTGAGATGGCCATCTGTGAAACAGGAAGCCGATTCTCACCAGACACTGACCCTTCCGGGCTTAGTCTTCAGCCTACATTTCTGTTGTTTACAAACTATGGTATTTTGTTATGAACACACACACACACACACACACACACACACACACACACACACACACACTATTCACAGTCCTTCCTCTCCCTAGTATTATGGGATACTCTAGAAAGACCCTTAGTACATGCCCAGGAATCAGATCTACCCCTAGGTACACTGCGTTGTGGACAAGCTATAAAGACTCCCCCCGCCCCATCTAAGAGGGCCAATCCCCAGAGATACTTTTTTCTCCTTCTCTTCAGCCAGGCATGTTCAGTGCCCAAATTTACAGTCTGATGCTTCCCACACGCGTGGTACTCCAGGATCCCACGTCTCCTACTGAGAGCAGCTCAGGCTTCGCCTAGAGACTCTGCATTTTCACAAGTGTCCAGAGAGGGCGCTAGTGCCCCGTTCTAGTAACACAATGGTAGCCCAGCATGGATGGGAATTGTAGATACCCCCATGCCCTGGAAGAGTGCATTCTTGGACGCTGTGACACTTTTATTTCTCCCAATGGAGAAAGGAAATTATAGCTCCACTTAAGAAAATATTAAAGAAGCGAGCATCATTAAATTCTCAGATACAGAGATATTTTTACGGTGCCCTGTATGGTGAAACGGGCAGCATATTGCCACACTCTTACGGCATACTGAAGATGCCTGTCTTAAGGAAGGAACGAGTCTCCATCGGAGCCCTAAGCTGGGTGAGCCGGTGCTTGCACAGGGCACCATTCCCACTTGCAGTGGGCACGCAAAATACTGCTACACTCATTGGGGTATATGCCATCTGTTTTCTTGACACTGCATGAAGGGACCTGCCGCTTCCAAGGCACAGGGGAAACCCTGGTGCTTCTGTTGCCAACAATCAAACTTAGTTTCCAAGCAGACACTGGAACTTTATAAAAACCCTCACCTGAAGCTTTTATCCGCGATCTTCACATTCTCCAGCCCCTTTCTAGTGATGCTGTGGGGCTGGGATGACGAAATACGCCCATCTGAAGAACAGCGCAAGTGGACGGATACTTCCAAAATACAGATCAACACAGGATGTCACAAGAAAGTGGGTGAAAGATTCACTCTGCACGTGAAGCAGTCCAAAGGATTTTCACGTAAGAAAGAATTATGGCAAATGATACTCTCGGGTTCCACATCATAGAGAATCTTTCATGTTTGCTATCACATTTGTCAAGTTTTGGTGTAAATAGCGAAGAAGAATTTCCACAGCCTGGAAAAAGCCACCGAGAGACTCTTCTATCTTTCCTCTAGGAAACACAGTGCGATAGTCAGAAAGTAGAGAGGGGCACAAGAACACAGCTATTCGCCACTGAGCTTCGTTGTCTAGTAAGAGGAGTGCCACTCCGTTTTTTTTTTTAATTTTTGAAAATGTGTATTTTTTCCATAAAATCTTAGGTCAACAGAACACGGGTTTATTTCTGTTTCTTTTTAAAATGTTAGTAAGTGAATATTTTAAAGTTCTAAATTTAATTTCTTTTCTTAAATATGTGTGTATGTGTGCATGTGTGTGTCACAGCATGTATATAGAGGTCAGAGGGCAACTTGTGTTGTCAGTTTTCTTCTTCCGTCATGTGGGATTGGGTACAGAACTCAGGTCGTCAAGCTTGGTGGCAAGTTTCTATGCCTGCTAAGTCATCTGACTGGCTCCTCTAATGTTAGTTGCTAATACTGTGAATTTATATATATATATATATATATATATAAAATTATATACGTTATATAATGTAAATATATATCCTCACACATATCACCTAAATCAAAAATCTTTCTGAAGTTTTCTTTAACTTTTAAGAATAGAAGTTGGCTTTGTGACCAAAAGTTTGACTGTTATGTTAAGAGGGGGGCCCTAGCTCTGTGCTGTACTTATCCAGTACAGCAGGTGGACCACACAGTCCCTCCCTGTTTTAGGGTACGCCTGTTTTCTGTGACAACGCCCTGGGTGAATAAGTGACTCTCACTCTCTCTAGATGTTTGGGGTGTCAGTAAATTTGATTCACGGCCTTAGCTATCCATTCGAGGAGCTAGGAAGCTTCCGTCCAATATCTTATTAAATAACATCTAGTAGCTTGATAATTTTTTACCCCTTTACAAAGAATAATTTTCTCTCATGGTGCATATATGCCCTCACTATAAAATACATACTACAGAATAGGCGTGGCAATGGGCAGAAGCTGGGAGGTGGGGTAGAATCTTGAAAAGAAGACAGACATGTTAGAGTCTTGGCTTTCCTATTTACAGAGTAACTGGGAAAATTACATAACCTTTATAATCACATTTTCTGTAGAAATTTGGATAAAAATATGTGCTTCCATATAGCTTATTTATTTAAATCATGTTGTATCTTATAGCCAATGAAATGGTCTGTCCTCCTCCTCCTTGTTATCCACGCTAGGTAACTGAGAAAGTTAGAATCCTCTGAGAGAGGCAACCCAAGTTCCTTTTGCTATCCTTGACAAGTCCTTTGCCATCTCTGTTTTCTTTCTGCAGACAGACGGGGTTCTCTCTGAGTGGCAGAGGGCAGCACAGTCACTGGAAAAGATGAGCATCCAGTATCCTCTTCTTCATTCCATCCCGACAAGCAGAAGTGCCTCCACCACCTTCAAAGGCTCCCAGGCACACCCTTTCCATATCTTGTCTTTGACGTGAGCCAGGATGGAGCTTCAAACCCCACCACGGGTACCATGTCTCAGTAATAGTGAAAAAAATAAATGGCTGGCTAAATTTTATGAAAGTAGGAATAAAAAGCTATGGGGATCTATAGAGACTCTTCCCTTGGGTATTCTAACCCTTTTTCAAGTCAGGGATCCAGGAGGGGATTTTTACGGCATGAGATGTGTGAAAAAGCCTGCCTCCTCATGCTGCAAATTTGGAAGCCTTGGGTCCTTCTCACAGCTGAGGGGGGCAGGTTAATGAGTTGGGGCGGGGTGGCTGGTGCCTCTCAGCAGATGCTCAATTACCTCTGGCTCACGCTGTGCTTTGGGGCTCGGAACACAAGTCTGGAGAAATTTTAACCTTGGTGGAGGACTTTATTCTTCCACGTGGCTGCCTACTTTTAGCCTTCCTGTCTCTGGTGCTTCTCCTGCAGGGGTTTACTGGCACGGTGGGCAGGGGGGACATCACCCCACGAGTTCTCTTCTTAAAACCAAGGTAAGTGAAATGAGAGGGTGAAGGTGATAGGAAATGAGAAGCTATGGCAACAATTACGCCTCCATCAGGGAGAGGAATGTTAATATTGACAAATTTTGGGAGGAAGGGTTGCTTGTGCAAGGAGCTGGACTAGAAATTACTTGACACTCACGTAAAATGTTTACTTGCTTAATATGAGGCAGAAGTTACACCTCATGGGTACCAAATGAACCCCAGAGAAGTAAGAGCACATTAAATTCAGTTTGCTTGCTTTAAATTCTTGACATATTGTATATACTGTATGATCTTGAGCAAACCACTTGCCTCTCAAGTTACCATTTATCTTCCGCATAAAGGATAGAAAATAAGAAAATTTAGACTTTGGGGTCATTATACTATTTAAATGGGTAGTTTTATGTAGATTACTCAGACAAGCACTTAAATAATCATGCCCTTTACAGATGTTGGTCATCCAGCATTTGTGCAGTAGCTACCCAGTTTTAGATCAACTCTTCAGTCAGAAGGCTTCCGAGCCCAAGATCTCAGAAGTAACAGAGCAAGGACTGAGGAGGCTGACCCCCCTCCACCCCAAAGCATGCCCTGAGGAGGCTGACCTCCCTCCACCCCAAAGCATGTCCTGACAGATATACTTCCTTTGGGATCCTAGAAAACTGAAGAGAAAAGATGAGCAGATAAAAATCCTGAAGACTACTTCCAGTGGACTTCTGAGGCTGTAGGGATCAGGGAGAGGAGTCAGGGTCTGCCCAAGGGAAAGAGCTACAGTGTTTTCTTCTTGCTGCTTGAGCTAGTTTGAGCTGCAGTGTAAGAATCTACCTCAAAAATAAAGATCAGAATTATGACTTAGCTAGGAGTCCATCTGTCTTCACAAAGACTGAGGTCTGATTTTTGGTTAGTTTGCCTTTGCCTGGTTATGTAATCTCTGGAGGAAGGCAGAGCTGTCCAGAGCTTTGCATACAGCTGATAGTCCATCCAGTTACCAGACTCACCTGGGGACAGGACAAAATGCCCAAAACCCCCTAAAAAAGGAAACCCAGACCATATGAAGAAACCAACAGGTAATTAAGATATTAGGGTCAATATGGCCTTAAAATAATTATCATAAGTGTGTTCATTACAATTCTTTAGAAGAAGAAACTTTTGAAAAAAATGAGCAAATACAGCTGGAAAATGGACTCAGTGGATAAGAGTGTCTGCCTTGCAAGCACAAAGACTTGAGTTCAGATCCCAGCACACATGTAGAGAGCTGGGTGTAATTTCACACATCTGTGACCCTGAGGGCATTGCTGGGCACAGAGACAGGAGAGCAATGGACAGTCTAGCTCCAGGCTGGGTGAGAAATCTTTTGTCAAAGGAATAAGACAAAGCCTGCTAGAGTGGGACACCTGACGCCCTTCACATGTATGAGCATGCACATGCACACCCCACACTCATACACACATGTACAACCCCCCCCACATACACACATGTACATACACCACTTACACACACCCCCACACTCACACACACAAGTACCAATACCCCACACACGTACACACATGTACATACACCACTTACACATACAAACACACACATACATAAAATTTTAAGTCATCAAGTGAAGATTCTATAATTTAAGACAGCTGGAATTTTTTTGTTTTCAATGTGTAAAATTATCATTAGATTAGAAATAGCTGAAAGGGGGTTAATGAGTTGAAGAATTTGACAGGAGAAAACATCTAAAGTGGAGTATGAAGACATTAAAAAATGAAAAATGAAGAAAAGAAACTGTGAGATGTGGGAAAGAGAAAGACTGAGCAAACAGATGCTTGTTGGAGAACAACAAGATAGATAAAAGACAAAAGGAATGTGAGAAGAAACAGTGCTGGTTTCCCCCAAACCGATAAAAGACACTGTATCACCAGCTCAAGCTTTGTGAACCACAAAGGGGATAATTAGAAAGAAAATGTCACATAGGCAATCACAGGAAGGATTACTTAAAACCTAAGATCAACATTTCCTCTTAAAAACAACCAGAGAGTAAAAGACACAAGGAAGTATCAATAAGTGGTCAGATGGCTTCTAAAAGGAAAACAAACAAGAGCAGCACTCTGAAAGACTAGGGAAGGCAACAGTTACTCCCTGATTGTTACACTGTCGACTACTTTTAAAATGAAAACATTACAGACGAAAACAATGCCTTCATTATCATGAGGACACCCCTGTTAAAAATAAATTCATTCATAATATATGTAAGTAGATAAGGCTTGTTAGGCAGAAGGTAATGATACAATTTGGAGACATAGAAAGGAATAAAACTAAATGGAAGACATAAATATCTGTATTGAGTATTCAAGATAACAGTATATTTTAGACCTTTATTGGCAAATAGCCATTGTAAATAGCGATTCCTTGTTTTGTTTTGCTTTTTTAACACAGGCTTTTTCTGTGTAGCCCTGGCCATCCTGGAATTCTCTCTATAGACAAAGCTGGCCTCGAATTTACAAAGATCCACCTGCCTCTGCCTCCCAAGCACTAGGATTAAAAATGTGTACCACAACCACCTGACTATAATAAAAGTTTTCAGAGGACATTTTAATACAAGTATATCATGTACTTTGATCAGGTTCACCACCATTTTCCCTTTTCTCCCTCTCCCTATTATTCCCAATCACACTTCTACTTCTATGACCCATATACACACTATTTTATGTATCCATATAAATAGACTCTACAAAGCAGTAAAAATGTGATTTCTGTCTTCAATATGATGCAATTTTCTTACTATGATCTTCATTTAAAAATCATATAGTTTTAAACTTTTCATTGTACATGATCATTCTATATAACACTGTTACATGAAGATATTTCCATGCTTTAAGGTACCCTGAACTCATTGACCTGCCAGCTCAGTGAATTGAGGAGCTCAAAGTCCGACGAGAGATCCTGTCCCCCCAAAAAAGTAGAAATTGGTGGAGGAGAAAATCCAGCCTTGCTCTCTGGCTTTCACAGGTATGTGTGCACACAAAGATACACATATATCAAACATACACACATGCACACGCACACACACACATACATACACACAGAAAAACTGGCAACAAAAGGAAGTACTTTTCCTTTTGTTGATAATGATAAAAGGTCGATCCTCAATAAATTATAAATATGTAAGTTTGTATGAGTTGTTCACAAACACCTCAAATGCAGGAGGTAGCGACAGAATTAAATAGAACAGACAAATCCATGAGCATGGCTTGGGATTTTAACATTACTTTCTCAGTCACCAACAGAACAAAGATAGAAAAGTCAGCATGATTATAAAGTGGCCTAGTTAGTATATATAGAACATCAGACCCAACAACCACCGTGAAAACTCTTCCCAAGTGCAGTCCCAACCAGTTTCAAAGGATGGGCATAGAGAGCTATGCTCTCTGTCACAGAGGAAATCAGCTAGAAATAAATAACAATGATCAAGTAGGACATCTCAAAGTATTTGAAAATTAAGCAATATACTCCCAATTAATCAAAAATAAATCTGAAGGCTTTCAGAATGGAATGTTTATGAAAACAGACACACCTAACTTGTGGGCTACAGGGGAAGGGGGTTTAAAAGGAGAACACTTTTATAAGCATTTTAATGTTTATATTAAAAAGCACACAAAGTCCAAACTCAGTTACCCAATTGTGTGCTATGGTTTGAACATTTCTTTCAAAACTCACGTTGCAATTCAGTTGCCAGAATGCTAATAAGAAATAGAAATTTTAGGGACTGACTAGGTCAGAAGAGCTCATGAATGGGTTCAAGAGAGAGAGACAGAGAGACAGGGAGAGAGAGATTCAGTTGTTATAGAGGTAGATTCAGGGCTGGGGAGACGGTTCAATGGTTAAAGTCACATGCGGCTCTTGCAGAAGACCTAAGCTCAGTTTTCCAACACCCGTGCCAGGAGGCTCACTACCTCTTATAATTCAAGTCCCAGGTCATCTGTCTCCCTCTTCTGGCCTTCACAGGCACAAACCCTCAGTCTCTCTCACACAATTAAAACAATCAAGGCATTTGCTATCCCCATCTTCCTTCTCCCCCTCTCACACGTGTAAACATCCATCCTGTTGCAATGAAGCAAGAAAGCTCTCACCAGATGCCAGCACCTTGAATTTCCAGTCTCGGAACTAAGACACACAAATTCCTTTTCTTCAGGAACTCCAAGGCTGTCACAGGTGAGATTCTGTCACAGATGCAGACAATAGATGAATACAGTGTTAAGTATGAAAATACTCAACAAGCTGAGCTCATAGAAGATAAAGTGGGAAAAGCAAACAATATGTAAACATAAATAGTATAGAAAGTCAACAAAATTAAAGGTCAACGTCTGGAAAAACATAAAGTCATTGCAAAAAAAGGGAGTAAAAGGAAAAAGGCAAAAGGGCTCAGTTTTTATTAACAAAAGACTATCACTATAGTATCTGTGGATTTCTTTTAATCAAAGAATATTATGAACAAGTTATTAGTATTGAAAGAAAATGGATGGATTCTTTGGAAAGCAAGGTTAACAGAGTTGACACATGAGGAAACAGAAACCGTGAGTTTGTACAAGACAAACAAGGAATAATTTAAAGTCTTCCCACACAACTCAGCTTTTGTGCATCTAGTCAGAGCTGAATGTACCCTTCCCATAATCTCACGTCTGTGGACATATACTCAACATAAATGAGCTCATGTAAACATGAAAGAGTTATGTGGAAATCGTCATGGCTTCATTGTTTTTAGGAGTTTCAATAAAAGTAACCCAAAGGTCTATCAGAGACCAGAAGAAATAAGTAAAAATGGGTGTGATGGCTAACCTTACTTGCTAGCTTGATTGGATCTAGAATCAACTAAAACACAAAGGTGATGGGCACACTTCAGAGAGATTTTCTTAAGCAGATTATTGGAAGTGGGAAGACCCAGCCTAAATGTGGACAGCACCTTTTGGTGGCAGCACAGACAAAAGGATATGGAAGAAAGAGTGTGTTGTTTTTTTTTTTGCCTGTTTACCTCATTCTCTTGGAAAGTTCATTGATTTTACTGTCATTGAATGTCTTTGCTGATATTAGAGTGAACTTCTTCAAGCTTCCAATATAGACTGTAGATCAGTTCTGGAATTTTGGAGGCCAGATTGGGACTCCTGACAGATTGGGACTCCTGAGACATCCAGCCTGCTGTTGGTCAAGCAACTAGCAGATTCTCCACCTCTACGGTGTAAGACAGTCATTGTTGGACAACCTGGACCATATTATGTAACCAATTTAATAAGACACCCATACACACACACACACACACACACACACACACACAGTCATTCATCAATTCTATTCCATTAGAGAATATGTATACTTATTCAATGGAATACTATATAATGCTGAAAGTGAATGAACCCTTTCTATATGTAATATTGGTGAGTGTCATAAATATGATATTTTTGAAAAATGTCATATATAAGAGGTAGTGTTTACTATGATTTTAATTATGAAAAATTCAATGAAGAAGGAAGAAAATAAAATATTGGTTAATGTTAGGGATGGCAAAATGGAAGTTATTGAAAAGGGACTGAGGAGATGCTTATATCCTATGTCACATTTCAACCAGTTAGCACTTGGATGTGTGTATCTGTGTTTGTATACTTTTGAGTATATGTGCTATCCTTCAGTGAGACTTTTATATATCCATACTGTATGTCAGTAACAGTTTTATTTGGGGTCTGGGGAGATGGCCTAGTGGATAAGAGCACTTTCTGTACAAGCATGGAGATATGAATTTGGAACCCCAGAATTCATGTTTAAAAGGAGGGCATGATTGCACGTGCCTGTAGCTCCGGTGAAGATAGGAGGATAGCTAGGGCTTGCTGGAAGCCAGTCTCACATCAGGTTCAGTGGGAAACCCTGTCTTATGGGAATAAGGTAGAGAGTGGTAGACCAGAAGGCTCAGTATCCTACTCTGGACATGTGCATGCACACAGGTATGCACACCAATACAGATACGTGCACATGCTACATACACACACACACACACACACATGCATGCACACACACACATGCACACACACACGCACACCTGTCCTTATCACCGTCATTATCATAGGAAACTGATGAAGGAAAGCACCGGAAACCAGGCAGCCTAGGTCGGTTCTCATGATGCTCACTACCTTGGAAGAGCCTTAGCAGCTGTGGGACCTAGAATAAGGATCCAAACAGAAACCCAAACACCATTTATACAAACTCTTAAACGTGATAAATCAGGCTCAGAAGCTGTAAACTAAAAATACGTTGTAGTCACCTATGCTGACAACTGTGTTTCTCTCATTATAAAAATGTAATGCCCTGGAAAGCCAGCTTTAAATTTAGAGCTCTCCATTTCAGGGCAGGAAAATGACCACCCGGAGAGACGCAGTTCTAGTCCCCAGCACACAATTTACCCACCTCTCTCCTCAGGCCACCTCTCTGCAGGGGGCCTCACACAACCCCATGGGTATGACAGCCCGCAAAGAAAGCTCCCACATGTCCTCAGAACAGCCATCCTGTGGCCACTCGTAGGGCCAGGCCCATGTCCACACTGCAATCCTGGGGACATTTGAGTCACAGATAGGAAAGGCCTGGTGTACAAGGGGTGATGCAAACACTAGAAGGACATGGCTGCAAATTCTGGGACCCCTTTTGTAGACAGATGGGAACGGGCAGAGGAGGGAAGACAGCACCCCCTCAGACAGTGGTTCTCAACCTTTCTAACGCTTCAGTCCTTCCACGCAGTTCCTCATGTTGTGGGAACCCCAACCATTAAATTAATTTTGCTGCTACCTCATAACTGTAATTTGCTTCTGTTATGAATCATAATGCAAATATTGTGTTTTACATTCATCTTGGGTGACCCCTGTGAAAGCGGCGTTCAACCCACAAAGGGGTCACGACACACAGGTTGAGAACCATTGCACATAGAGAATAAGCAAAGGGCAGAGATGTTTGCAAATTTCAAGAGAAAGACTGATTTTGTTTTTTTTTTTTAAAGTCAACTATGGAGCTACAGCAATGGCTCAGAGGGTGAATCTAAGTGCTTCCTGTGCAAGCATGAGGACCTGGGTTCAGATTTCCAGCACCTACGTAAAAGCTAAGGTGTGTCTGTAACCATTGTACCGGGAACAGAGAGACAGGCAGATCCCAGTGGGCTACAAACTACAGGCTAGCCAAAGCAGTGACCTCCAGTTCACTGAATGACTTGGTCTTTAAAAAAATGGGCTTGGCATGATGGCTCATGCCTTTAATTTCAGAACTCAGGAGGCAGAGGCAACCAGGTAACTGTGACTTTGAAGCCAGCCTGGCAGCGTGCTCTACGTAGGGAGTTCCAGGCCAGTCAGGGCTTGTAGTGAGAACATCTATAATAACAAAAATAAAAATGATGGAGAATGTTAGAGACATGTGTACACATGGGCAAGTGCACTGGCTTGCGTGCACTTATACACACATGCACACACATGTACACATGCATGCACACACGCACAAAGGCAAACATAGAGGAACACACATGCACACACATGTACACATGCATGCACACGCACACAAAGGCAAACATATAGGAACACACATGCACACACATGAAGCTAACTGTGTACTTGCAGTGTTAGAGATGCAGAAATAGGGCAATAGAGACAGAGACAAGAGAGCTTTTTAGGTAAAATGGGAAAATTCTGCTCAGTGAACACATGTCCTGTATATGTGTGAAATGTGAGAAGTGAGTCTCCCACCATCGGAATGTAGAAAGCACATGGGTGGGAATTAGACTTGTTTTGCTGATTACTTTATCCCAGAGTCTAATGCCTAGTAGGTCTCAATAAATAATCTGAGTAACCAGAGACTCCAGGGTTGCTTGAGATGCTACCAGATGCTGTGGTCTCTTGCCGCAGGAGCATTGTGTTGGCACTGTGTTTAAAGGCACAGCACATGTGTTTAGAACAAGAGCATGAAAGGAGT